CAGGACATAGACGACGAAATGCTCTCAACAGTCCTCTCTGAATTGAGTCTGCTGAATGCGCTACTCAATTTTAAATGCTGATTTACTTAAATATTTGAACCTTTTAATTTGGAATGCCACTAAATATAGTTAGTTTTAAGCAAAAACTATATCCTCAGATAAAAACATTAAAGGAAAATAGACAATTTTCGCCAAAAAACGTATTTAAAAATTTTGAGTCACTTGACCGCGCATTTTTTGAGTATTTCGTCGTCTATATCTTCATTAGTCTGCTTTTCCACAGGCAGATTTTTATTTAGCAAATTTTTTGCGAATCAAAATACAAAAGAAAGAAAATAAAAGTCAAAAGTGTTTGCATTTTAAAGATTTGTTTTTAATATTTTATATATTTTTTATATAAATTGCAAAAATTAAAAATTAAATTTCACTTGCACAAATTAAAGCAACAGGTTTGTAAACAAAAGCCGGCTGTGTGTCAGTAAAGCGAATAGGTTCAAAAGGAAATGTCAACAAAATTGTTTTCAACGAACAGAGCAAAGCAGAATTTGCGTGCACGGCAAATTCTGAACAGGCAAATTTTTGTTTTTCTTCCTCGCACCCCTCCATAGACTAATGAATGTATAGACGACGAAATGCTCTCACCAGTCCTCTCTGAATTGAGTCTGATGAATGCGCCAATCAATTTTAAATGCTGATTTACTTAAATATTTGAACCTTTTAATTTGGAATGCCACTAAATATAGTTAGTTTTAAGCAAAAACTATGTATATTCTCAGATAAAAACATTAAAGGAAAATAGACAATTTTTGCCAAAAAACGTATTTAAACATTTTTGAGTTTTTTATTTTGAGTCACTTGACCGCGCATTTTTTGAGTATTTCGTCGTCTATATCTTCATTAGTCTATGGTTATGACATTTACACTCTTTGACTGAGAGGGGGAAATAGCTCAAAATAAAGTGACGCGGTTGGGAGTCTGGCAATGTATTTCTTTGCCGTTATGATAATTACTCCCTTTGACTGAGTGGTTATGACATTCTCTCTTTGAGTCTAAACGCAACCAGAGAGTCACGAGTCAGCGTCATACTTTTTCGCCGGCGTGAAAACCAAACGAAAGAGTTAGCGTTAGCGGCACAAAATGTCAATTATTTGTTTTCATTTTCTGACAGAAAATTTTACGTTGTGCAAACCAAAATCAATTTATTATTTAATAAACAATAATGTCAAGGAACTTGGATAAAATTATTGAAAAAATTATTTTTCTTCCATTTTATTAATAATTCGTTAAGGAACATCCACAATCTTTGAAAATATTTGTTTTTTTTTAACAGCACTGCCATATGTTTTGATATAAATTCTCATTGAAATTTGGTAGCACTGTTGATTTTTACCTAAAATATGGCAACTCAATTGAGAGCAAGAGAGAAATTTTGAGTATGACGCTGAGCAAAAATGAATAAAATCTATTCTAGCGTCATGCCGCTAGACGCGAACGTCAGCCGTCGCGATTTCCCGTTGCCTATAAGAAACACACGGCAAACGACTGTCGCTGACTCTAGACTCTATGGTTGCGTTTAGACTCTTTGGTTGAGTGGGGAAAGAGCTTAAAATAAAGTAACGCCGTTGAAAAGTTAAAAGTGGGATTCTGGCAATGTATTTATTGGCCGTTATGACATTTATTCCCTTTGGCTGAGAGGGGGAAATAGTTCAAAATAAAGTGACGCCGTTGGGAGTCTGGCAACGTATTTATAGACTGTTATGACATTTACTCGCTTTGGCAGTATGTAAATGGCGCGAAAATGTTGTTTAAGCGAATCCACATTAAGATGGTGTATTTTTATTTAAAAAAATTACAAAAATAGAACATAATTAATTTATAAATTTAAAAATCACAAAAAAAAAAAATAATATAATGGAAAAATATTTGATGTATTTGAGCTATGAGTGAAATCGAAGGCCCTACGATGCTGAAGAGTTTGAAATTTTGCATCTCGCGTACAAGGCACGGCAAAATTTAACCAATAAAGGAAAACAAATTGAAGAATAAGAAAATTCTGCCGTATACGAGGTTTGTTAAAAAAGGTCATGAATTATATAATACTAATAAAATCGTCATTAATTTAGGAATAATTCCAAGTAATCACTGCTTCGACGAATATTTTAAGTTGTAACAGGCTGGGTGATACCTCATGGTAGAAGGTATAATAGCCAAATTTAACGCAATGGATACAACATTGTACGGAAGGATTACCCTATAATCTGTTATACACACAATTTTGTATGGTGAATGAGTATGTCCCCACCAAGAATAAGAGGAGACATTCTGATAAATCCGCCATTTCGCTCTAATCTAACATGAAGAATTTGTTTTTATTTCAGTGATTTCCTACGTCGTTCAAGAGCCCGAGGGGGCACATCCAAGACTTGTGCCCCAACATACTCGGGCAGACAAGGAAGCTGTCAATGAGCCAAATTGCTTACTTAACCCTATCAAAAATTAGTGGTCACAATGTCGGATGACGACTCCTCCCACGAGTACCCTATAGTAGCTACCATCATGTTTATCCACCATTCTAAATTACGCTATCAAAGCTAGAATTGAAAATATGCAGATAAGAGTCCGCACATCACATGGATCTACTTGCGCTCCCCATAGATTATTTCGACTAGACATCTGCATGAATGCACAAAAACACCACCCATGAGTCACTCACACAAAGTAATGGCTTCTATTCTATAAATTTGTTGGAAATGAAGTGCAATGAGTGAGGGTACAACAAACATGAATTGCTTCAGGTATGAGAGTTTCGAATTTGTTGTATATTCGTTTGATTCATACAATCCACGTTTCAAACTCGACGAACCGGTATTCATTGTGTATGTTTACTTCGGTATGAATGTATGTTGTAACACAAAAAGTTTGAACAAATGCGACAAGTTCGTACACGAACCTGTTTTACACAATGAGAGTGTCGAATTATACAGTAGTATTCGAATTACCCGAATTAATTGAAGATATATTATGGTTTTTATACCATCTACAAAAGTATGAAGGGTATGTTATGTTTTTTTGTTTTCGTTTGTAACTCATCGAAATAATCATTTCCGCCCATTTAAAGTATATATTCTTAATAAGAGCAACATTTATGAATATCTAGTAATGTATCCACTATATAGCAGTACTTCCCTTTTTTCAATATTTAAATGTTTTAAACGCCCTTTTAAACATATAAAAATTCGTTTTAATTTGGGTTCGAATTGGATACCCCATAGTGTGGGGGATATTCAGTACTACAAATTGTCCTCATATTACTTTGTACTCTAATTTGCAATATTTGGGGAAACGACGGAAGATACTTATTTTTCTTGAGTTATTAATTACTTGTATTTAATAAAAAAAATAAAATAAAATACATTATTTCTCACTATTGCTCACTGATAAAGTTTTAAAGATTGTACAAGGTAAACATTTGCATGAATGTACCTGTACAATGAATGCCCACCATTAATGTTAAGTGTTGAATGAAAACAGAGAATACAAAATACAATGCATGATGTTCACTCATTGGACTCATTGATGTTGTATAAGTTGTTCTTGTAATCCATCATACTGAATGTTGTGCTTTCGAGTTTGATCGTTTGATCGGACAGAGCACAATGAAGAACAACACATCTTCGGTGGTTGAATTCATTTGCACTCATTCAAAATTGTTGTGTACTCTGAATACGACTTAACACCCATGAATGCGGATGGGAATTCATTGTACGAGTACATTCTTGCAGATGTCTAATTTCGACCTATAGAAGTGGTTGACTCTCTACAATTTCCAAAATAACTAACATATCTAACACCTCATCCAATTTTATCCCTCCCCAATAACAATCTTTGGAATAATTATAAAACATAGATTGAAATTTCCAGTGAGGAGGTTTTCAATGTCCTTTCTATTATCCTATGATCACAAATTTTGTGTGTAAGCTCTACAACAGTACTTCATCAAGCCGCTCCAATCAATTTTTCCCACCTACATCTATTCTAAATTTTACACAGTTCCATCCATCAATAACAAAATGAACAAAACACACACACACAATTTTAGTTTTTAGGGTTTTTTACGGTTTTTTTTTATCTAGTTTTATTGTTTTTGTTTTGAATTTAGTTAGCAATTGTGGTTTTTCTGATTTGTTTTGTTTATCTCTTCTTTTTTTAAATTTCAAGTTAAAACATTTATATTTAATTTTGTTTTTGTTATTAAAGATTATTTGAAATTATTTTTTATGTGATTCTAAATTTGTTGTTGTTTTAAGACAAAAATTTGCTTTTTGTGAGAATTTTTTTTGCAAGTAAAATTAAACAAAATATGGTTTTTGAAAAAATTCATATTGCTATAAAAGCATAAATTTCATTTGCATTTGTTTTTGAATATTTTGTTGTTGTTGGGATTGTGGTGGATTTGTTTTTAAGAATAAGAAATTATATATGTATTTTAAAGTTGTTTTTAGTAATAGATTTAAAAAATTGCAGCATTTATATTCATTTTCTTGTTGTGTTGAATTCTTTTCTATTATGTTAGGAAACAACTAATTTGTAAATAATTGTAATAGTGAAGAAAAAAAGAAAAGTTGATTTTTTGTGTTGTTTTTATAAATAAAATATTTTTTCATATTTATATTTTTATATATATATTCTTGTAATATATGTTATGCATTTCAAAAAAAAAAAAAAAAGAATTTTGTTTTTGTTTCATATTGTTGATTTTTGGGATTTTTCCGTTTTTTGTATTTTCTTTTCGTTTGTTTGTATTCTGATATTTTTTTTGTTTTGTTTTGTTTATATTTATTGGATCAACTATGTATTATTTTATTTATTTTCTATATATAATATATTCAATGTGTTTGTTTTTGTTTTTCATATTTTTTTTGTTTTCTTTAAATTCTATTATCATCTCTCTCCTCTCTTCTCCTCTGTGTGGTTGTGGTTTTTGTGGGCGCACACATCATTTAATTGCCCCACCAATCGGGACCAGATGAAGAATTTCCTCCATAATTGCCACCATCATTGCCGTAGCTGTTATAGTAGGAATTGCCATTGCTACGGTAGGAGCCGCCGCCGCCTCCACCACCACCGCCTTGATTGCCGGATGAACGATTGTTGCTGCTGCGACCGCCGCCACCACCACCAGACTGTTGACGGTAATCGCGGGATCCAAAACCACCGCCATAACGACCACCACCACCTCCACGACGCTTGTTGCCGCCATGTGAACGTTCCGAAGCCATCATATCTTCCAAGAAGCTGGGCAACTCTTGTTTCGTTTCAATCAACAACTCCACCAAGTCGGCACAAATGTTACGATTCTTTTCGTTAAAGAATGAGGTGGCTACACCCAGGTTACCCATACGTCCGGTACGACCAATACGATGTACATATTCCTCTACATCGGAGGGCAAATCGAAGTTAATGACATGCTTTACATGGGGAATGTCTAAGCCACGAGCAGCCACGGCAGTGGCCACCAATATGGGACAATCACCAGAACGGAAACAACGCAGGGCTTCCTCACGCTCCTTCTGGGTACGATCACCATGGATGCTGGTGACTGGGTGATTACATTGATACAAGAACTCCTCCAAAGCATCGGCTCCCTTTTTCGTCTCAACGAAAATCAACGTCAACGAATCTTTCGAATATTCAGCGCCTGCCCTAATGGTTTCCAATAGATCGAGCAGATACGAACGTTTGTCCTGCTCATGTACCCACAAAATGGTTTGGGTAATATTCTCGGAGGTGGAACCGACACGGCCCACAGCCAAGAAAATGTAATTACTTAAGAAATCAGATGCTAGTTCTTGAATTTGTTTGGGGAACGTGGCGGAGAACATAAGCGTTTGGCGTTGTCCCCTACCGGGCATATTCGAATCTTCAACAATACGTCTGATTTGGGGCTCGAAACCCATGTCCAACATACGATCGGCCTCGTCCAAGACCAAGAAACGAATGTTATCCAAACATACCTTGCCTCTGGTGATCATGTCCTCCAAACGGCCGGGTGTGGCCACAATCAAGTGGCAGCCGCGATCCAATTCGCGCATTTGTTCAGAAGTATTATTGCCGCCATACAACACTGCGGGACGCATACGCGAGCGATAGGCAAACTTTTTGGCCTCTTCGAAAATTTGTGTGGCCAATTCACGAGTTGGTGCCAGCACCAAACCCAATGGATACTGCTTGCGACGAGTGTAGCCACGAGTGTTTTGGGGTGGCGGCGGAATACCATGCTCATACATCTGATTCAATATCGGCAATAAGAAGGCAGCCGTTTTGCCTGAACCGGTTTGGGCGCAAGCCATCAAATCGCGTCCACTTATAATAATTGGGATCGCGTATTTTTGTACCGGTGTCGGTTTGTCATATCTAGCCATTTGTACATTATGGCGAATAATCTCTGTCAGCTGCACATCATCGAAGGATGTGATGTTGGCTGGGACATTTTTGCCCGTCGCTTCCACGGGTATATCCTCGTATTTGTCAAAATTGATGCCGGTATTACCGGTGCCGAAAAGCTCGGCTTCAAGGCGTTCATCGCGCGGACCCAACTTGGTATAATCAATATCGCCGCGGCGTTCTTCATTCCAGCGACCGCCATATCGGCGTTCGCCGCCACCACCTCTGTTGTTGCTGCCACCACCGGCACTGGCATCGCCAGAGACGGAATCTGTGTCCTTGCTGCGTTCACCGCCATCATCAGGACGGCGTTCAGGTTCTTGCCAACGATTGTTGCGTGGCGGGTCATCACGTCGGTCACGACCGCCGTCGCCTCCGCGATAGTTCCTGCCGCCACCACCGTCTTCACGACGTTCAAAGTTACGATTATTTTGAGATCTGCCTCCGCCGCGATTCCAATCGTCACCACCGCGTCTTGAATCAGTATCACCTGAAATAGTTTGTAAAAGAGGAAAAATGTGGTTATTATTATGTCACCTTGAAATTAGAAAATTCAAAATATTCCTCGACCCGTTCAATTTAGTTAGCCCTATTATCTAACTGTTAGGTTGGGGGTAACATCTGATAAGAATTTCAATATTGAAATTGGAAATTTTAAGGTTATTTTGTTGTATGTTACTACTTACCGTTATAATTATCGTCGTATCTTCTACCACCGCCACGACCGCTAAAGTTACTAAAATCACCACTTTGACGATCACCACCACGTGAATTAAAATTGCGACCACCGCCTCCTTTACGGAATTCACCACCACGTTGTGAATCACGATCACCACCACGATTACCACCGCCACGCGATTCGTAACGGGAATCACTTGAATTTGAAGTTTTTGGTGCAAAATTAGTGTCACCCCTTAATTGTGGTGGCACATAAACGTCGGCTTGGCTTAAAGAAAGAGAACTTTTAGTTGTTATGGGGCTGCTATTATTAGCTCTGCCGCCATTCAAGTCCAGACCAGCAACCTTTAAGATAAAGAAAAAAATGAGTGATGTGTAGAGGAGAAATAAAATATGTAGAGAAGATTTAAATTGATGTGTGTCCATGCCTTTTTGTTTTTGTATTATAGTGGAATAATTTGCCAAGAAAAATCAATGTAATTGGACTTAAATTACCAAGAAAAATAATTAATAATTTTTCATGATTATTAGTATTCGATGTGTGGCCATGTCATTTAATACACATAACACCCAAAATCATCCGATTCTAAAATTAATGCTGCTAACCCAAAAATTACAAAGAAAAAAATTAGAAATTGCCAAAAAAAAAAAAGAGAAAGTTTTTAAAGCCAAAACGACACAAATTTATATTTCTACCCAACAAATACCCATTGGCGGCCATTATTACCTATTTTCCCTCTACTTTTGTAACACTTCTGTGAGTTTTGCGTTATCATCTTTACATCCGTTGGGGGGCAAAGAACACATTAAAAAGCAAAAGCAAATCGGAACAAAGAAAAGTAAATTGTTTTTGTTTTTCTATGACTCAAGTTGTGGGTTTTCTCCAACAAAAAAATATACCTTATAAATTAGAAGCAGCAGTGCTGGCTGGCGTTGTTAATCAATAATACCATTGACATTTCCCGCCAATATGTTTGCTGTTTTTATGTTCTCTGAGGAGTTGAGAGAGGAAATTTGCCAATTGACATAAACGATGGAGCTGTTTGTCATTACTGACAATTTTGTTTGCCTTTTGCCGCCGTTAAACGCCAATGACAGTAAAACTGCTGCCTTTGGCAATGTGAAAAAAGTAAATGTTTTTTTTATTTATTGATTGAAATAAAAAAAAAGTATTGTTTTTATTATGAGTACTTATCTGTGTGTGCATTGTTAGGGCAGCAGACGCAATAATCAATGAAACACACATTTCCTGTCTGTAATTTGGTTAAGAAAACAAGAGATTGTCAAATGTCATTAAGAATAGATAGAGAGAGAAAGCCACCGTAATTAGTAAACTCCGTCGTCTTTGAGAAAATATTTATTTAACAAAAGAAAAGTAAACTTTCGTTAATTTAAGGACACAAATTGGTATTTCGTTAACACCAAAATTCATTAGCAATTAGAATTGGGCTAGTTAATAAATAAAACTCACATTTCGCGCCAATAGAAAAGAGATTGTCAATGGAAGTTTTTTGGGAAATAAAATTTTTTTGTTGAGGAGTGTTTAAAAGGCCACATAAATCGATACATTGAAAAGCAAACAGCTTTAAATTTTTAGGGCTTAAACTGGGATTTTTTTACATGGATATTAAACCAAGTCGCTTAACAAAAAATAAAATATATTTCCCGCTAATAGAAAAGAGTTTGTCATTATTGGTGGATAGATCAGATAACATTAGACAACGCAGCACAAACAATAATGTAATCATTGTTTGCCCTGCGTTCTTTAATAGAGGAGAATGTGTGAGAGCGAGAGTTACATTTCGAAGGTAGTGCAAATCAGTAGAAAGAAAAGTAAAATGTTTATTTTTTTTAACATTTAATCGTGTATTTAAAAATCCATAATTAATTAAAACGCGTATTGTTTTTAAATACTTCCCGCCAATAGTGAAGCGTTTATCAATTGTCATTAATGGTAGAAGAGTTGAGTTCATCTGGCAATGTGGGGCGCAAACAATAAGTGGTTTGGTTTAAAGAGCGGAGAGTGTGAGAGAATGTCAAATAATGTTACATTTCAAAGGCCGTGCAAATGTCAATGACGGAAAATTTTTTTATTTTCTCTCATTATAAATTAGAATTAGCACACGAGTTAATAATATTTTGCGCCAATAGAGAAGAATTTACGAAATGTCATTGACAGTAGAGCCGCCTGAAAACAACAAATAATTAAATATATTTCTTTTATAGAGTACAGACTGAGTGAGTGTGAGAGCAAGAGAATATGAATGTCAACAATCATGTTACAATCTCTAAGGCCATGCATTGTGTTATGTTGGCGGCGGCGTCGTCAGTTAAATAAGCCAACATGCAAAATATAAAAATGCCCGGCATGTCATCGTTTCTCCACCTATTTTATTATAAGCTCATAAAATTCACAAGTTTATTTGTGTATCACCATCAAAAAACAAAAAAAGCATGTCGTCATCATCACCAACAACAGCAACACTGGCAGCCAGCTAGCTAACTAGAGAGTTCATATATTATCGTGTAAAGTTCCGCGCACCACATTCATTATGTCGTTGTATAGAGGAAGATCATCAGCATTTTTTTATTCGTTTTTTTTTTTTTGTGTTGCCAAGCGAAAATTGTTGGCGTTTGTTGGTTGGCCTACACACAGAGAGCAGATGATGATTTGTTGTGTTTTTGAATGTACGGAAATGTGAAACTTATCAGAGTCGAATGTACAGCAACAACAACGGAATTATATTGTTGAAATGAACAACAAATAGGCTAGTAGTATTAATACTTTTTTAATTTCTAATCTGAAGTTTATATTTGAAGAGCATTTGTTGTTATGATGAGTGGGATGTCTGGCAGGCTGAATTGAACAAGGTTGCGCATGATGTAGCTAGATTGGATTTTGAATTGTAATTCACAAAACTCGTTAATCATTTGATCTCTACCGGAAATAATAGTAATACGAGATGTATTGTGGATATAATTTGTAGATAACACCTAATAATATTTATTCTTCAAATTGTTTAAGGAGATTGATTGATTATGACATTACCTAACCTCAAACCATGAGTAAAGAAAACAATGCAATTTAAAATGGGGAAAAATCGTAATGTATAAAAACATACAAAGAAAATTATTCCACATACTGGATCAAATAATTATGTCAGCTTTAATTTCAGGGATTTATATTTTAGCTAATGTGGAATTAACCAGATTCATATTCCTATGAACAGGGTTTAAAATGCTAACGCCAAAATAGCAAAAACACAGAAAATTGCCGCACTGCTAACTAAATTCATCCTCAAAATATGCAGCACAGCCAAGCACAACTGCAACAAATAGCAATACATTACGAATAATTTTAGCAAGCAAAACTAAAGCTTCTTGATTTTGTCAGCAGCTACAAAATAGCAATGAACAACTACAACATAATTGTCAACGCGACTAACAACCAAAGCTTTCAATGAAGACTAAGCACCTTGACTGTGGCTGCTTAGCAAGATTTTTAGCAAACAAAACCCGAGCATTTTTCGAGTTCAGTGTTGTCCATTGAAATTTTATTAATTATATGAGAGAATTAAAAATCGAGATTATGATAATTACATTTTTTCGAACAAATACAATTAGTAATACTTGCTAAAGAGTTTAATTTAATATATTATTCAGTTTTTAGTACTATTATTGACAGTTTTTAATTGCGATTTGACAAGTTTAAATTAAATAAAAACGCACAAAATGAAATGCCTTTTTTCTAATTTCTGCGTTGGCAACACACAAACATAAAAACAACCCTCGGCTGATTATTCGTCGACAGCGAAATATGAATATGTAGTCGTACTGCCGATTAGTCATAACAAAAAAAGCTCGCATGTGCAATACGTGCTTAGCACGGATGCTACGAACTAAAAAAGCTAGTCGTTTGCTGATTTAGTCGTAATGTCAATATTTTTTAGCAGTAGCTCTGTAAGACTAATGCTAATATTTTTTGATGCTGCATTTTAAACCCTGCCTATGAACAATGAATAGGCCGCCTGGTTGCCAGTTTTAGTTTTGGGCAGAAAAAGTTATAGTAGCCATATGCGGTATTATTTTTTTGATAACATCTAATAATATTATTTTTCAGAATGCTGAACTTGGTGACCATAATGATGTAATCCTATATAAACTCATTACCAATAGGTGGCCATAATATAATCCTATATAAACTAATTTACTATAAAATTGTCCATTTCCATTCGATAAGCTAAATATCACTTGTTGAATAATGTGGCATAGCAGCATTTCAATTTGGAATGCGCAAGTATACAAATATCCTATATATAATGAATATTAATACTATTAATTTTTTCAGATGGAACTAGCTTAACATAAAATCATAGGCAGCCTACTTATTTAAAATGGACCTAAATTAACATAAAATGCAAAAAAAGTCACCTGTAATTCCACCATTGAAAATTTCTTCCACACACATGCAAATCTCTTGCATATTAATATTATATAAACATTAATAATTGGCTTGCGGTGGGGTGACATGTGTAAATGAAATGGAACCAACAATTTATATTGGTGGCAAAAGAAAATCATGTAGGGTCAGAAGACAAGTTGCCATGGGCATACATAAAATATAAACTAATGAGCGCGAGCGAACAAGCAATGCAATGCTGGTGTTGTTGTTGCTTTAGGAAACCACATTCTTTTATTAGAATTATAAAACATAAAAACATGCCCTTCTTCATCAACGCCATCCAATACATAAATGTTGTATGCAGAATGCAACGCCAAAAGAAGACGAAGAACTACTAACTAATCTTGAAATGTCATTTATATGTTTTCATCTTGCTTTCTGCAACATTCCTTTTCTTGTGGCAAAAGGGTCATATTAAAGAAAATATATTATCAAAATGCAGAATTTTATATAAGACAAAAAAGATTAAAAGGAATACACCTTAAGGAAGAAGTTCGGAAGTTAAAATGGGTCCATTATATAGAGGTCCGCCTACGGGGAGCAGAGCTGAATGCTAACGGACGCGTCCACAGGTTGCGGATAGTGGGAAGACGAACACAATTCGTTGGGTACCTGTGAATAACAACATCATCTTTAACATCAACATTTCCTGAACGGAATCTACGCCGCCGCCGAAAAAATCAGCTTCATTGTCTGCCACAACACCATTCACAATTTTAGTCGTTTGGCTTGCATTGTCGCTTTGAAAAATTATAACAAGTACCGAATTTTCTCTTTGTTCACTTCCATTTTTAACACCCTACAACTCACAACTGAAAGCACCAAACAAAAAAAGCAAATAATTTTTTACTGTGAAATGTCACCCTTCTAACGAGCATAAATGTGAAATTGTTCGATCGATACTTTACGAGAAATCTATCAGTACAACCATCCGCAAAAAAAAAAAAATAAATAATGGATTTCTTTTTCCCCAACCTAATATGTGGACCTTAAAACCCTACAAATACAAGTGGCCCATACATTGCCCAATACAAATATGATCATCTCTTAAAAGTTCTAATAAATTTGGGCTATCATCCCGTAATATGTACAATTATTCGCAGTTTAAATAAAAAATTTCATTAAAAAGAACCCTCTGTGTAAACATAGCATTAAAGCTGCTGTCATACTTGCAGCAATACCCCGTTTGTTCTCTGAAAATGACAAATTCTTACTCTCATTCTTCTCACTAATCGCCTTTACTGTCAATTAATTTATTAATCGCCTCTATTCTGTATAATCATGCTTGACTGTACATTCACACACACGCACACAAAGTGTTCTAATGTGGATGACCTCGGAAAAAACCGCTGCAATTTCAATGAATTTTTTCTCAGTTTTGCTTTCGTTACACAAAACACATTGAAATCAATGTCATCGAGAAGACGACAAGTGCAAAGGAAAATGAAACGAATTTTGTTGATTTCCGAGATAGGAGAAGAGTAGTAAATTTGCTAAAAACTCAAATTACGTTTTTTCTTGACTTCTTTCCCCATGTGATGAGGAATAAATGTTAAAACACACGTTATTCAGATAATGAAAATAATCTTTCATACAATGAATAATGTATTTTGTTCGCCGTTGTGTATTTACCCAGACAATAATAAATACATTTGTCAACAAACTCCCCTATATACATACACACATGTGTACCCACCACAAGTAAAAAAAAAATGCACTCCAACAATAACACCATCTACCTACCTAGAACACAAAACAAAAAAACTGTAATTGTTAAACCAACAACAACAAATGAACAACACAATGTGGTTCAGTAAGCATAACCTTTAAATTTTTCAGTAATCCATATATAAAACAGCAACAACAACACGATGATGACAGAAAATACACTCGAACTGAAGATCCCCATGAAATGCACTCAAACACCAGTTATACATGTGTAAGCGGGCGAGTGAGCAAACCATTGTGTGCGTGTGTGTGAGTGTGTTTATTATACACTCAACAAACGAAAACAAAGGGAAGGCATCATCATCATACATTGAGAGTCGTATATAGAGAAAAAAATAAAAACAACATTAGGACAAACAGAGAGAGGCAAGACAGGCCAAGCGCAAATGTTTAGTATACCAACTCCTCTCTTTCCGATGAAATTATATTACAACAATAACGTGGTTACCAACGGCAAATAAAATAATTTCGCTCTCTCTCTCTCTCTTTTTCACACACTGTATGCCGTTCGTTTGCTCTATGTGGTGTCAGCAGCACACAGCACAAGCCAAATACATAACCTCTAATACCCAAGATGAAAGGAAAAAAGAAAAAAACGAAAGAACATGCAAAAAATGTATATAAAAGAAAAATAGAAACTAAAAATAATATGTGAAACTACACAAATGTAATTAAATTTGTTACAGTTTTCTCTACTTTTTCTTGTTTTGAAAATTAAACACATTGACGACAACCGCATTGCCTGCTTGTCTCTGCATGTGCATGTGTAAAAAAGAGAAATGTTATGAAATCAATAATTCTTTTGTTTCACAATTTCAAAGAAATCTACTCAGTTTTTTCTGCTTCTTATCGACAAAGAATTTCTACAATGATGAATACACACCAAGCCAGGCCAGGCAATTTGCAAAGAAGGCATGGAACAAAGCTTAGAAATAAATTTATAATTATCTATCATGTGAAATACAAAATATTACTCACTTGCTGCTCTAGACCTGTGCCATTTTGGTTAATAGCATTACTCATATTACTTTCCAATCAGTTTCTTATATTTTCGGCTCTTTTCCGTTTAGGAAAATTTCGACGATTTTTGTTGTTGTTTTTTGTTTTAGTCCGTTTTCAATATCGAAAATTTTATAGTTTTTATTTGATTTTTTTTGTAGATTTAGCGCTCTATAGTTAGCATGAGGGAAAAAAGTTATGTATCAATCACCCAAAAAAAGTAATAGTCACATATACACACACTCGTCGTATAGAAAAAACTAAATCGTTTTAATTTTTCTATTATTTTTTTGCTCGGTAGCTGCTGGATGGTGTGACAAAATTATCAAAAATTTTGTTACACTTTAAAGTTTTTTGTATTACAATAAATTGTCAATGTTTTTCTTGTTTTATTTTTCTGAATATATTTCAAGCGCAGAAATATACTATATAAGATATATCTGCGTGTATATATTTATCCGTTTCCTCGACAGACACACACTTCCAAAATTCAACGCGTGAAAAATGTCGACGAAATTTGATTTGACGAAGAAACGAGAGCAACGATTATCAGGTTATGCGAAGGTATGGGTACTCTCTAACCATTTGCAATGTGATTACTAAATACTTTCGTTTAATGGCAAGATAATACGGTTTTATCGACTGTTGTTTTGGTTGGACGATATATCGGACGATTTGAAATGGGGAAAGCAAAATACGAACAAAAATTAAATATTTTTTCAAGACACAAAATTAAGTAAAATTAAAAAAAATGATATTTTTAAGTATATTTTTTTGGACTAGATGGAGATAATATTTTTTCAAGGCAGGCGTAGATTTTTAACGTATATTTTTGAAGGTTTAACAAGGGGTAGATTTTTTTTAAGAAAATTTTTTTAGACAAGGCGTAGATTTTTTAAAGAATATTTTTTCAAGAAATTTTTTTTTTTTCAAAGCGTAGATTTTTTAAAGAATATTTTTTTAGACAAGGCGTAGATTTTTTAAAGAATATTTTTTTAGACAAGGCGTAGATTTTTTAAAGAATTTTTTTTCAAAGCGTAGATTTGTTAAATAATATTTTTTCAATGACGCCTATATAAGGCGTAGATTTTTTAAAGAATATTTTTTTAAAGCGTAGATTTTTTAAATGCCAAACAAGGCGTAGATTTTTTAAAGAATATTTTTTTGAAGGCGTAGATTTTTCAAAGAATATTTTTTTGAAGGCGTAATTTTTCAAAGAATATTTTTTTGAAGGCGTAGATTTTTCAAAGAAAACTTTTTGAAGGCGTAGATTTTTTAAATGCCTAACAAGGCGTAGATTTTTTAAAGAATATTTTTTTGAATGCGTAATAAAGGCGTGGATTTTTTAAATAATATTTTTTTGAAGAACTAACAGAGGCGTGGATTTTTTAAAGAATATTTTTTTGAAGGCGTAGATTTTTTAAAGAATATTTTTTTCAAGGCGTAGATTTTTTAAAGAATATTTTTTTCAAGGCGTAGATTGTTTAAAGAATATTTTTTAAGGCTAGTCAAGGCGTAGATTTTTTAAAATTATTTTTTAACGACTATCCAAGGTGTAGATTTTTTTTAAATTAAATTTTAACGACTATCCAAGGCGTAGATTTTTTTAAAGACTATCCAAGGCGTAGATTTTTTAAAGATTATCCAAGGCGTAGATTTTTTTAAAGACTATCCAAGGCGTAGATTTTTTTAAAGATTATCCAAGGCGTATACTTTTTTAAAGACTATCCAAGGCGTAGATTTTTTTAAGACTTTCCAAGGCGTAGGTTTTTTAAAGACTATCCAAGGAGTGGATTTTTTTAAAGACTATCCAAGGCGTAGATTTTTTAAAGACTATCCAAGGCGTAGATTTTTTAAAGGCTATCCAAGGCGTAGATTTTTTAAAGGCTATCCAAGGCGTAGATTTTTTAAAGGCTATCCAGATTTCAGATGCAGATTATTTTATTATTATTTTAAAGACTATCCAAGGCGTAGATTATTTTAAAGACTATCCAAGGCATAGATGCAGATTATTTTAAAGACTATCCAAGGCGTAGATTTTTTAAAGACTATCCAAGGAATAGATGCAGATTATTTTAAAGACTATCCAAGGCGTAGATTTTTTAAAGACTATCCAAGGAATAGATGCAGATTATTTTAAAGACTATCCAAGGCATAGATGCAGATTATTTTAAAGACTATCCAAGGCGTAGATGCAGATTATTTTAAAGACTATCCAAGGCGTAGATGCAGATATTTTTAAAATTGTTCATGTTCCAAGGCTTGGTCGATTTTTTAAAGAATATTTTTCCAGAAACAAAACTAGAGAATTTGTTTTTAAGGACCAACCCTAAATGTGAATTTTTTCAGAATTTTTTTTTCAAGGACCAACCCTAATTGTGTATTTTTTAGAGAATTTTTCTTAAAGAGTCCTAAATTGCATTCCTATTTTCAAGGGTTCATAGGGCCATTCCTATTATTCAAGGGTTCCTATGGGTCTTCCCTAATTTTTAACGATTTTTTTAAAGAGCCCTAAAGACCATCGCCATTTTTTTCAAAAGTTCGAAGAGTCATTCCAATTTTTTCGAGGGTTCTAAGTGTTGTCCCTATTTTTTAAGAATATTATTCAAGAATCCTGGGGATATTTTTTATGGGTCCTATGAGTCATCCCTTTTGTAAAGAATGTTGAAATTGCGATTGCATGATTATTAAGATAGATCATTGCAATGTTGCACATAGGTTGTTGCTACTATCGGATATATCGGTTCATGTTTTTATAACCCCCATACCACGGTAGCCGCATTGGCTGTAATTTGGCATACCGAGTTCTTGAAGGCTGATATACACACATATCATACATATTCTATAGTAGTAGTATCTCCTGAACCTGCTGTATATCCAAATAAAACATTGGTTGTTATTCCTATTTCTCTTAATTACACAAAAATATAATTTCTTATTGTTTTTTTAATTAACTTAATAAAAAGTACATAAATTATAAAATTACTAACAAAAAAATACAAATTTGCATAGTCAATCGTTTTAGACATCGCATTTTTGATTTAAAGCTGAATAACCTACAGGAATCTCTTTGAGTTCAGACTTTAAACATAAAAATTCCCCACCTATGCACATAATAGTGGCCGTGGTGGCATTCAATAGCCACCATGAGATATTCGAGGGGAATGCACTGTTATACCACCAGCATATCAGTAAATGGAATAGATGAAATGTGCAGCTGGAAGAAAAAAATACATTAATAACAATAAAACAAGAGAGGAACAAGTCATTTTTAGGGCCAGTCGCAGATTGTTTTGAAATTTTTACCACATGCAATTCTAAGGAACAATACCTTACGATGTATGGAAAGCATGGATTTTCGTAAGAACACAAATAAATTGTATGGTACACAATCGTGACCAGACCTCAGACATAAGCCCAAATAAAAATCGTACTACTCACCTAAAGTCCAAGCACAATTTGGCTCTTCTAACTATGCACCATAACGCCAATGAGCCCACAAAGGCATTTGTAACAAAAGCGCATATTATCAGGCGGCCACCCAAATCGGAAACATGTATCTCCTGCAAAAGGAAACCCAGAAATATTTATTACATATTCTACATTTCAAATTGCAAGGTATTCCTTTGTGCTTTGCTCTCTTACATGATATTCAAAGATGTTGTCCAGTCGATAGTTTTCTCCAGCCAGCAAATTGGCTATAAACACTAATAGCCCCAGCGAGAAATAAACACAACATTGCACGGAAACAATTTGTGTTATCAGCAGGAAGGGATCCCACTGTGTACTGCGAAATGTTCCACTTTTCATATTCTGGTATTTGTTTTGTTCTATTCGTTTATTTATCTATGACATTTACACACGGATTTGTAAATGCATATAAACAATTTAATTCGTGGGGAAAATCGAGGAAATTCGGGGTTTAAGGTTTTGACTCGCCTCCCGATTAGCGAAACAGCGCCACCACCAATGCTCCAGACCTTGTCTACGTGCCTTCTTTTGACGTCGATTTCTCTGATGAATTTTGCAATGTCATATAGGTGTTCCCAATTGTGCTTGCGTATGAAATCCTCCACGGAGAGAGTTTATAATGACTAAGCAATGAAATTCCTTGTTCGGGGGTTTTCCAGCTGCTGGAAAAGCGTTTAAATTAGTCACTCTGATGAAACTACGTCCTCTGCGTCCAGTCCAGCCAGCAGAGTTTTCTAATTACAACCCTGTAAACCTGAGGTGAAAGCAAACGAGCCAAGGACCAACCGTGGCGAATGAGAATCAAAACAAACGAGAGGAGGACCAACCAACAGCTGATCACAATTTGAACAGTTGATCAGCTGTTTGTAGTTCCGGAAGGAACTAGTTCATTGAAATGAATTCTGGGGGAAAATCGAGGAAATTTGCCAAAAAGACCAAAAAGACAACAGATGACGAAGTTTGTGTTGTTTTTGTTGTAAACAGAAGTCAGCATTCATTCAATGGCATATATGAGCAGGGATGCCAGATTATTTTTATGGAAAATCGTCAAAATTACAATTTTTTTAACAAAAAATATTTGTACAGTTATTTCGACTTAAATTTAGTCATTCATTTTGTAAATAAATTTTTATTATATTTTGTAATATAGATATTTGGTATACCCTTCATTAGGAAGGTATTTTCTTTCAAATTTTTAAAGCTGAATGTTGTCAAAAGCAAATTAATGAAAACAAGTGAAAAAGCGGTAAGTTCGGCCGGGCCGAACTTTGGATACCCTCCACCATAGATATATTGGCAGGTACTAGAAATGCAAATATAGGGAACATACCAAAAAGTGGACCTATACCGACATTTCTAAAAACGGATTATGTAAACCATAATACAAATTTTAAAAATTTTTAAAGGATAATTATACCCTCAGCCTTATGGCTAATGAGGGTGTATACACTTTAAGACGTTGAAAATATGCCTCATCGAAATACTGGTTCTAGACCCCATGTTTCTTTGGACCAAATCCCTTTCAGAAAATTTAGATTTCATCCGAACTTTGCCCATCTTATTATTTCTTCCAAGCTTAGTTCAAATTCAGTTCAAAACATACGCTCAAGAACCCCAAAATACCGAAAATTGGGGGTACCCTTATATGGGGGCTATCCGAAAAAATGGACCTATATTCATAATTTTTTGTGGAGAGATTTGGAACCTATTATGAACCCAATGTACCAAATTTTAGCGTATTCGGTTCAAGCGTGATTACAACAGACGGACGGATGGACGGGCTATATCGTCTTAGAATTTTACCCTGATCAAGAATATATATACTTTATAGGGTCGGAAATGAATATTTCGATGAGTTACAAATTAATATACCCTAAAAATGGAAACATGTGACTGAATGAGACTACCCTTTATAATTATGCCATGCTGATCTATCTATCTTTTTGCCAAATATTCATCTTTTTTTATTTCTTCTTTCGCTTCATGGTCCAAAAAACCGGTTGTGTAATAAGCAAAATGATTTCACCGGAGCTGTCAAAATTTAACTTATCGTGTCAAAATGTAAACAAAAAAAAAAAATTGGCGGTTTGATGGATTTTCTACCATAATGGCAGATAATATTAGCTTGATGTTGCCATGACAAAATATTGTCATATTAGTCAAATTACAAAAAAATAAAAAATGTAATTTTTCAATTTTTGACCAAAAAAGCGTCAAAATGACGATAAATCGTCGAATCTGGCAGCCGTGTATAGGACAGCGTTTGCTTATTACAACCCTGTAAATTGAGGTGAAAGCAAACGAGCCGAGGACAAATCTCGTGTTTACGAATGATGTCAAAGCAAACGAGACGAGGACAACCAACAGCTGATCACATATTTGATCATCTGTTTCAAAGACGGTAAAATCCACAGTAAAATGATTACTCGTTTTGTTATTCACTATGACTTGATAACACATTGTTCCAGGCACTGTAAAATAAGAGATTTTAACTTTCACGTTTACATTTTATTGGATTTAAACGACATATACATTAGAACTTTTTACCGGGTTAACCTACTTTATGAGGATTTATTTAACATATATGTAAAGGAATTGACAATTGAAACCCACTGGGTTAACGAAATCCGGTTAAATGTAAACGTACTATAAAACTACAATAATGCAAATGTTTTTTCAATGCTGTGATCGTTTGGAATGTAAAAAATCACAAAAATTCTATAAACAATTTTTGTTTTCCTTTGATTTTTTGACATAAATATTTTACTTTTGTGTTCGCAGATATATGTATTTCTGCATAATTGGTTTCCTTCCACCAATTTAACTTTATTTTGTATTCATTGAGGAAATAAAGAATAAAACAGTTTACATGAATTTTTTGAAACAAAATTCTAATCAAAGTGCTCAAAAAATCAACATTCGTGATAATGTGCTGTCACTTTTTAACATATGGAAATCGGACTCTTCATGTGAAACATTCGGAAATTTCAATGTGTCAAAACATTATGCAATTACATATGTATTTTTTCCGAATAGGACGCGCTCTATTTTCGTATGTGAAACATAAGGAAATAAGCTGTTTGAATGAAACACATTGTTGGAAGAAAATATTTCAATTGCAAGTCAAAGAAAAGGATGAAAAGGCAACAATTACAATTTTTTATTTCGTTTGTAGGTGTTTAATAAAAAAAATGATGTTGATTTAAGAAAAAATAAACGTGTTTTTTTGTTTATAGGTTATGTCATATGTAAAATACATATGCCGATTTGAACACAAAAATAAACGTTTTGTGTACGCTGCTAATTTTGACACACATAAGGAATTACATATGGATGAAATAAGTGACAGCACATATGTAAAATACATATCGTGTAAAAACACCATAATTATTACTTCCAACAGGACAATGTTCCAAAACACACTGCTATTGGCGTTAAGAATTGGATCGTATACAATACACCACACATGGTGATAACACCTCCATAAAGCCCGATTTAAATCCGATTGAGCACCTATGAGATCATCTAGATAAACGAATCCGATATCATACAATTTCCAGTAAGGCCCAACTCAAAGAAATACGTCGGACTACACTAAAAAACTTGTATACTCAATGCCCGAACGATTGAATGAAGTTTTAAAACTCAAGGTATATCCTACCAATATTAGGTAAGTCAATTTAATTGTAAAAATTACGTAATATTAAATAATTTGTTATTTTTCTCCAGGGGTACCAAGACTTATGCTGTGCAAAAATATGGACTTGGCACTATATCGATTTTGTTTTAATAAATTTTATGGGGTACCATGACTTTTGCTGCTCACTGTTTAATATAATACAAGGAATTTGCGGCATAACAAATAAGTTTTATTATCACAAATCTAATGAAAACGTGGCACATGGACTTTATTTACTTCATTATAAATTAATAATTATCAAAACATTATTTTAATTTGTTATTGTTATTATTATTTTATGTTTATTTTTATTTATTTCTCCACTCCACCGTTACAAACTGAACACAGCTACTGCAAACACATCAAAAATACAACTCTGTTCCTTATGACAATATGACAAAACAAACTAAACACATCTCAATGCCCAATGCATTCCACACCATCCACCATCCAAAGCAATGTCATATGACATTTTTCGTTTTTTCACATTCCACGACGAACATCGTCACTTGTATTTATCTACTTGTCTTGTGAACAGTGCAGTTTTGGAACTTTTTACCCCCCGATTTTTTCTCAATTTGTGTAGTGAATACAAGTGCAAATACAAAAAATGACCAGCCAAACCCAAGGTATCCAACAATTGTTGGCCGCTGAGAAAAAGGCTGCCGAAAAAGTTGCAGAAGCAAGAAAACGTAAGTAGACACAAAACCAAAAAAAGGACAGGAATTATTTTGCACAATTCTGCAAGTGAAATTAATGTACAAAAAACGAATTCCAATAAGAAAACAAGTGTCATTGTGTTGGTGAAGTTATAATAGTTGATGGAGGGGGAAAGAGAGAGAGGGAGAAGAAAAAACGTAATTGTATGGTGTTACTACTGACTGACAGCTATTGTTGGGTCACATGATAACCACCAAAGCTTATGATGGATGAAAAATAATTACAGATATAAAAAGATGGTGTATTTTATTAATAAAAATTAATATATTTATTGTTTTCTTTTCTGTTTTTCACAGGCAAGGCAAGAAGATTGAAGCAAGCCAAGGATGAAGCTACCGAAGAAATTGAGAAATATCGCCAAGAAAGGGAACGTCAATTCAAGGAATTTGAAGCCAAGGTAATAACCCAATGAACCAAAGAAAAAACAAAAACAACAGTATGGAAGGGGGTCAATGTGTATATGGAGTGTAGGGTAGTGAAGAAGGGGGTGGAGAAGGCTCTTTTTTTGGATGTTACCAAATAATATCATGGTGGTGTAGAGATTTTCAATTTTATAACTGCTCAACAAATTTGAGAATGTATGACTCTATTATTTGAAAATAGGTTAACAAATTATAATTTATAAGAATTATGGAAAGAAGTAGAAAATGCTATGCGAACTAAAATTCAAAGAGGAGAAAGCAATTAATAGATTTGCATATAGAATGTAGGATGGAACATTTGGAAGCAGACTGGTTTGGTATGTGTTTTCTTCCTTATCAGTTACACAGTGAATATTGAGATTTATTTATTTTTTATCTATTTATTATAGAAAACAAGGTCATCTTCTTAAAACTGCTAAAAGTTGGGTACACAAAATGTGTTCCCCATGTCGTATAAGGAACACAAATTTCCGAATAGTTTCAAATCGTGTAAAAACACAACAAAACTATAGCTCTGAATCTGCACTCATAATATTT